CTTCTAGATGTCTCTCTGGGTACTGAATCTACTGTACCTTTTTCAACTATATTCACCGATATCATCGAAAAGTATAAGATCAGGTGAGGTGAAACGATTCAACTAAGAGGCAAAAAGACATGACAAGGCAATGTTCTTTCAGATGTTATCCATGACATCGATGATATTCGATTCTGGAACAGTATTGGAAGAAATAACATCGAAAGGAAGCTACAGCTGAATCCGCACCTCTTGAAAAGTGAGAGCTTTTTAAGAAACCGTAATAGAGTTTTGAAAGTGAAACGAGCTGTTTGCTATGCTTTATCGGAAACGTACGCCTATGGGACCGTCCACGAGAGCCGCTGGACATAAAAAATGAGAAGCCCCAACCCCAGAGGTTCGAGTTATCCAGTTCCACCAGCAAAAATGGATGAACCTTCTGCGGCTGATCAATCTCCTCCTGAGATGCAGCACACATTCCCTTTCTAGTCGTCATCGTAGTACACATAGATCGAGGTATGGCCTATGCAATGACTTAAGGGGTCAGCCCCTAAGTCATGGTATAGGCCATATCTCGTGTGTACAAATCATTCCACCACACAATTTTCGCACCTATATGAAGGCCCTGAAAGAAAGGAAGGCCTGGTTGGACTTGACGACAGCCGATCTGGGGTTTGGCCCCAGACGGCGCCCGTGATTGGGAATCGAGCTGCTCCGCTTGCACAACCAATTGTGTGTGCAACAATGTCCACACAGCTAGCCCTACATGAGCCTGTTAATTCCTTGACATGGCTGACCATTTACACTCAGTATTACAGTAGACTGAAGAGCAGGTGGTGTATTGACAAACGACACTCTTATCAGGCGCCAAGGTCCCGGATTCAAATCTTGGATCGGCTGGGACCGCAGATTGGATTCTTATTCCTCTGGGAGGATACGAACACTGACCAGCTTATTGGCTGGTCCCCGTGTTTCTTTGTAGAGGCCACATCGCTTCATCGAGCCACTGCAGCTCCGAATGGAAGTAGGATGCGTACCGCATCCCAAAAAGGGACCGTTCAACGGCGAAGATCTTACCCTTTATTACAATACTACTGGTGGTATACCAAGTTCTTTGATCTCTTTGGATTCAGCAAAGATAGGGAGGCCGGCAATGATTCCCGAAAGGTATACTCGAGTCCCTGAGATCGGGTAGGTGTCGGCCGAATGTTGTCAACTTATCCTTGACGCGTCTACCGCTTCTGATGCGATTCATATTCATGTTATTACACAGTTCGTGGTCGTTCTCTGTCCAACAGAAACAAGATGACAGTTGTTCCCAGACTGAAATATTCCACTAGTAACCAGTTCCTTACAGTGTTCGAATGCTCCGCCTACCCGATCTCAGGGATTTCGAGTATACGCATTAACAGGTGGCGGATACCAAGAGGACATGTTCCGTGTGTCCTTGTGTCGTGCCCATGTTTTGCTGCATTGTAGTAGGCAATGCAAGTGATTGGTGAGAATCGGTCCCAAAAATGCTGGTGCGCCCCATCTTCCTGGACGATCATTATCTTCATTCGAGAAAAAACAAAGCCAGATAAAGCGAGAGCATAAACTGCGAAAATAACTGGATCTCATGGTGGCTTCGTTACAGGAAACGACCGGAAGAACTCGTAATACTCTTTCCGTTGTGGCGATGGGCTATGCGCTCACTCCGTCTCACGTCGTGACGAGCCCAGAATTCAATGAGAATCACAAAGGCGCCGTGAGTTCGTTACATTGACACGCGACTTTCTTGCGAAAGTTCCAAAGCACTGGACTGAAAATGCGTAAAGGTTCGTTCTATGCATCGTTGAAACATTTTTTTTTGAATTCTCCGGAGAACTCTTTTCGGTATGCTATCCATAAATGCAGCTGCGTAGCTGATTTATCTTCTTTATCTCCCTCAAATAAATTTGTAACCAAGTTATGTTGAGCATTCCCTTTTGAGGTTCCGATGGCATCTTTTTAACTGCAGACCCCACGCTTAACCGAATTGTGGGATTCCTCCCTTGCCCAAGTAGTCTGGTGCTAGCCTCAAAGATTGTCCCACTTTCGCCGCTCCAAAATGCTGTGATGAGGGCGTTGCGGCCACAGTAAGTTGCTGTCAGATTGCGGCATTATCGGACGGTCGCCAGGTTAACAGTATACGTTATCTTACGTCACCACTTCCAATCTGCTAAAGAAGCGAGTAGGGCCAATCGCGGGGGCTACGCACGGGCCTGTCGTCGCGTCAGTTAGAGAGGTTCTATAACTGATCTAGAAATATCCCGCGATCAAGCTGAAGCAGTAGAATGTGCATAGTCCATGAGCGAGTAAGCCCACGAAACTCATCAATAGGAGAAAGGCCCACGCAGGAAAAAACGTTGCGGCGACTCCCTGAAGCACGTACCCTAACAGCGGGGCCAGGCCATTGAACGATTCATGATGAGGACAGCCCAATCAGCAGGGTTTCGAGGTGCCATTAGGTCCGCGCGAGAACATAGAAATCGCCCTATTTCGCTCCAGGCAACGCCATGTACACACGCAATTCCGTTTGTGAGCCTTGTCTGGCGGAGTTACAGTACGTGGTTGCACCTGTTGCGAAACTCGCGCGTCTCTAGCTTCGTTATTACGCCTCTCTCAAGTAAAGGAAGTGGTATATTTTCTGCTAGTGCGAGCAAAGATGCCAATGCAGCTGCAGTCATTTCGTTAATCACTTTCGGAAAAATCGGCGGGAGAGTGTCTATCAGGATGGAGGACGTTGTATGAAAAGTGCAAAATGATTCAGTAGTACTTTCTTTCGGACCTAATAGGACTCGTGTTGAATATAAGGATTAGGTTCAAGACCAGTCATTCTGATGATCTGACCTCAACTTCATCGCCGAAAAACAAAATATCTTTATTATTGGTGATAATTATTTCAGACAAGCTCTTATGATCATCAATGTGGACAGTTCTGCGAGCTGGTTGGCGTACAGTCTATTCAAGGGTGAGAAGGTAAGCTCGTGCGGACTCCTTGTAGTGCTCCGCTTGGCTAAGGGAGAAAAGCCATCGTACTTAGCTGGCCTATAGTAGGGCGTGTGAGGAGGTCGTGAGTTGGAATGAAGCCACAACAGCCCTCCGCTCCAATTGTTGCGGGCTGAACATGGCATCGTTGATGGAATGGCCGTCTTGGCAGCGTCCCGTCACACGCCTCATCGTTTGCAGTGACTGTATGTATTATACATACTGTACTTCATCTCCGGAGGGCAGAAGCATTGGCTGATGTGGATGGGAGCCGAGCCGGGGTTTGACCTTCAAACCGCGTGTGTAGTCGGCAGGCCAGTTCCCACTACACATTCTGTATGCCTTCTTGTATGTTCCCTTGCTTCTTTGATAAGTAGTAGTGCATATCCGGCATTGGAGTAGAAGAAGTGAAGACGGGGTTGGGGCTGTGAGTGCCCCGCAATAGACAGTGGTCGGTTCATGTGAAAGAGATGCACCGACGTTTTTTGGCCAGCCATGCGCTCTACGCCTCATTCTGAACCGACAACTGCCTGCTGCCATATAACCATGCTAGTAGACACTGTCCTTTCAAACCCTAGATATAAGCAAAATTACCTGATAATGATCTACCACATAGATCAGTTGATTCAGGCGAATACGAAGACCGTGGGCACTCTACCAAGTGCAAAGGAGTACTGTCCTAACTCGACGAGCACAGACATTGTGGATGGTATTGTGGAAGGCGTCCTTCAGAAAGGTAACTATTCTCATTGAATTAGGAAAAGCTGTAAGTAGTGCGACTTCAAGATATGTCTATGGGCATTGTTACGACAACTCGAATCACACATGCCACTCCTGCCGCCCTCTATGCTAAGGCAAGTCGTTCCGTCTAGACCCCAGCGAAGTCATAATTCTGAAAGAATTTTCAGGGAGTCGAACGAGACGCGGAGTACGATGAGGCTAACGTTCGTTGCACAAGGGACATTGCCAAGCAGCTGCTTTCTTATCCGGCTTCCGAGTTCAAGGTGACTTTCTACTCTACAGGTTTTCTTCCACTGATCTCCTGACAACAGCTACACTCGAACGAACCAAACAATAGAGAATGGCACGAGGGAAAGGCCAAAAAGACATTGCTCGCATAAGAAGTGACTAAAGGTAGTCTGTACATTCGCATGCTAGGACGGTCCTAAAAATGTGCGAGATGAGTGCGTCCGCAGGTTCCATAGCGTGCCATTTCAACGTCTCACGGGAAGAGAGGTAGAGGATAGCGATATCTGAGTGCCGTCTCCACTTCAATGTGCGGCACTTGCGTCGATACCAACACCCGGCAGCGAGCACTTTCACAGATACAGAGCAGCCTCAGGTGAGACGGTAGGGCGTCTGGCTATGGTTAGTGCCCGGCTGGCACGGGCGGAGTTTGGAGACGGCACACAGGCGCTCCAGCACTGTTCCAGTTCGTACACCTTTTAGTGCAAAAATGCGGAAACTGGTGCAGCTGCAGACCATTCACCTCGTTCATGGCAAGTTCGATAGTTGGTATACAGATCGCCTTTTGGCAAAGGAAACTGAAAAATCACAAAATTGGTCGAAGCTTTACTGAACAAGTGCCAATCGCAAGTGCTACTTGCAGGAAAACTCGCAGTCAGTACATCTCTCTATGCCTCCGATAAAGAAAGGAACCGCGAGGTCAAAAAACACCTAATCAGCGTCTGCCTTACTTTGTGGCGGCATCCACCAGCGTCTACCAAGCTCCACTAGCGTTCTGAGCGTCCGGCCATGTCAGCGACAAGGGAACTACAGCAGGCATCGATCTAGCGTGTGAGAGCGTCTGCTAGCGCCTACTAGCGTCCACAGCCTTCAGCAGCGACAGGGAGTAGAGAGCATGGGGAAGTAGAAGGGTAGCAAACAAGTGGAATTATGTATGTGTCGTGGAGTTGCAGCGTGTACAGCCGCACCGTGCGTTACTACTTACACCGTACCCTAAACTGCACAATTCTCTGCTCAAGCAGTTTGCGGTGCAGCTGCACATGCCTCAATTCCATGACGATTCAGCAGTTGGGTAACCTCCTACGTATCCGTACCTTTTTTTCAGTCGCTGGTGAACGTCGATGGACGCCGATAGACGCTAGATCAATATCTATACTTTCCTAGTCGCTGACGCTGCCGACGCTCGGAACGCTAGTGGACGCTGGTAGACGCTGCCGCAAAGTATGAACCCAGTGTAACGGGATGCAAATGAGAGCAGCTGATTCAGTTCCAATCGACCTGGCCTTTAGAAAATTAGGCCTTCCCAAGGCGCTTTGAGCGCGTCGTTCCTTGAAAAAACATTACGCATGCAAACTATAGCACTAACTACCTCCGGGAAAGGCGCCATCTGCAAAAAGGGAACAGCTCGAAACAGCTTCGTTGCAGGTGTTGATGGGTGGAGGAAGTAGCTACTTGATGGAGAAATCCCGAAATGGATCCCGCGGGGATGGACTGAACATAGACCTTGAATGGATGCGTCTTGGTGGGAAGCGGAACGTCCTGAGAACGCCAGATGATCTGAGCGAAGTCAATGCGGCCGACGACGAGAAACTGCTCGGTAATGCTTTCGTCATCTTGAATAGACCAATAGTTACATGCTGCAACTGCTTTGTTACATATGAGAGGACTAATTACTTTCACTATTTCGAATTTTAAGGAAACTTTTCAGGACTCTTTTCCGAATCACACTTTCCTTACTATCTCAATGAAAGGCTGGAAAATAAAAAGACCACTCCACGGCTCCACGAAATGACTGCAAAAGCAATTGAAGTGCTCCAGCGAGATGACGAAGGATTTTTCTTAGTGGTTGAAGGTACTTTAGAGTGCCGTTCTGGCAATAGTTGCTGCTTCGGTCGTCTTTATTTTTTGATACTTCTTTTGTTACAGGTGGGCTGATTGACATAGCTGAGCACGAGAATTGGATGCACGTGACATTTTCCGAGGTGTACGAGTTCGAGGAAGCAGTTAGAGTGGTAGGCTCATCAGATTATTTCGTACAAATGTTATATTGACAGATTAATCAGATTTGATGACAGCTGAAAGCGGAAGGGAAGCTTAACTGTTTGAAGCAGCCAGTATCATACCATTAGTCTATGCAGTGCAGTGCAGAGTGAGAGTTTAAAGACAAGAAAAAAATTGCAAGCGTTATAGAATGCAGCACACTTCTCCAAAACGGGGCGTGACACTGGGGAAAGGGGGATCTGTTGTGCTCTGGGAAAGCGCTGAATCTGTGAGCGAACATTTTGCGCTAGAAAACCAACTCGCGATGACTGTGGCACATTTTCGTTTCTTCCAGAAGAAGTGGTTCATTGTTGATTCATCCTTCTCTGCGCTCTTCCAAGGTTCACCTTGTAATTAGGGTGGGGCGGGGCGCAGCTTGAGCTGAGCCCTGCCAATTACCTGCGGATGCGGTGTGAAACAGATCTGTATTACGTAGTTCTTGCGCACCTTGCCTTGCAGAGGATTTGCCGTTTATTCAGGAAGATAAATAGGTGTCTATGGAAGTCACAGATCACTTTGTGCAAGGGCCTTTGCAGGCACGAGGAATGACGAATCCAAATGAGACGTTGATCATCGTCACAGCTGATCATGGCCATGCACTCACACTTCCTGGATATTCGCCAACTAAGGAGACTCTTCTTTGGTGAGTATTTTGCCTTATTACACGGTATTGTCACAATCTGCCGTAACGGCGTCAAGAGGCATGGGATGAGCGGAATTCTTAGCACTGGTTGTTTCCCAAATCGAAGGCAGTGGGGGACAGGCTCAATACGCGCTCCTGACGCTGCTCCGATTAGGAGCCACCATAGCAAGTAGGCATGTTCCAAGCATGTGTCGGCGGTTCGTTTGTGGTCGATGTTTTCTCCAAAGCCGGCAGTCGAATGCCTCCGTCAGTGCTCGAACCCCTCTCTAAATGATTCCTTTTGTGCCGTCCAAGTAAGTTTCTGAAAGCAGATCCGCGATAAGCCATCGACATCGACATGTCCTTAGGAAAAGGGGTCGGGAAGTGCATATGCTAGTTCACTTACCCTTAAACAAAACCTTCGTTCCAAGCAAAAAGCAAAAGTTCGATGGGTTTTATTGGGTGAGACCAGGCGAGAGTAGCAAGCGGATGTAACAGCTAACAAAGCGGGCGAAGTGTTCCGAGTAACCCTGCGCTTTAACGCTCGTAACTCTAAACTTTTTGAAGGAAAACTGGTACAAAGTTGTCCACTGCGGTCCTCACTACCTTTTCTTGACAGAGAGCTTCGATTCTCGAAAGTGATGGTAGAATGCTTGAGTTTTAGAGTCTATTTCCTGCTACGCTCTGATTTGGTCACCATAGGACAACGGTTGCCACCCTAGGCTGAGAATACGCAGAGAAATCTGCTCCTATTAAGCAGGCAACCGCGGAGAAGCAAATTTCCCAGGAACTCACGAAGTACAAGATGAAATCAGTCCACCAGAAAGTATAACTGTAGTCACGCATACGGGAAATGTTCCGCTAGAGGCAAGTAAGCAAGATAAAGACAAGGATAATGAGGCAAAGCTCGCAGCGATGGTCAAAGCCTTCTGGGAGTCTCAACGTATTTCACATTTCAAAAACGTGTTTCGAGCGCGGTTTCGCCTTTTCATAACCTTTCTGGGCCCCTGATGTGGAACTTAGTGCTTTACTCTTTCCATGGGAGTCCGGTTCATACTGCATGAACTTACCGTTTTCAAAAGGATGGAGGGCTTGGTTGGCCGGAGCGGGTGCCGATGATAAATTTCGTGTCGGAGCGCGTGCGGGGTCAGCGAAATCACTTACTTTCACATCATTACGGACAAGATTAATAAGAGAGGCTGGAACAAAGAATATGATTAAACACGCCCCGCGTTTGAAAATGGTCAGTTGTGCGACTTAAATACTAATGACAATAATATAAAAGTGAAGAAATGGCAAAAACCAGCCCGAACTTCTCATATTGTTGAGTCGTTGGAGGTAGATGGCAGTAGAGTAGGCAGAGAATATTTATTAGGAATAGAACACATAACTAACAGAAAACGTTGGGTTTATATAGTCACTTGAGATCATTAATTAGGCGCGAAAACTAGTACCTAATACGGTAGGTAACGATCAAAAGTATGGTCATGGTGGGTCGGTAGATCAATGCGATATCTAACATATATAGAGCCCCATCCAAACCGCGTTAGTACGTACATAGGGCGAGTAGGGTAACAGCTCTCTTTCCCCGTTGCTCACCACTAGGGAGTGGAGAGAGAGCCAATAGCGGAGCAACTGCTCCAGGAAGCCTTGAGAAATGGAAGTTGGGCGTTGCCGTGACCAGCAGGCGTAGCCGTGGCCTCGTCGCAAGCGGGTCGCGCTTTATTCACGTAATGTCTGAGCTGTGAGAGTAGTAGATCCTCCACACTTGCAGACGGGACTACTTTGTCAAAGGAACGCGTCTGAACATTAAATGAACGCGGAGCGTGCCTTTAACAATGACAAGTAATACCAAACCGCTGCACCTCCCATTCCATCTCAGCTCAATTGGATGCATTCCGATACATACTTGACCCTGTTTGCGAGATCAATCCGTATTGAAGCTAGCGCACAATTTGTAATGAAATGATTTGCAACTCTCGCCCGCGTGGAATAATACAAAATGTTCGATGTGATAGCGAAAAATTCAGAAAGCTCGAAAGTCGAGCATCGTGAGGAGAACGCAGTCAAAGAATCCACGAATTGGGTACCCACCATGTTCTTTGCCACGGGACCAGGATTCAGGAATGGTTTCGGAGATCACAGTAGCACTGACATAGGTAAGATTCCTCAGCTACAATTGTGGCGCTACTTCATGAATGATTTTCCCGTGACTTTGATGATGGCTGACTTGGAAAAATATGCAGATAATATGTAACAATTTGAGAGCAACCATTCTATCGTCAACCAACAGCAGTTCGAACACAATTTGGGTACCATGGAGGTGAAGACGTTGGCATTTGGGCTGATGGACCATTCTCAGAGTGAGTTCATTCACTCTCCTATTTTCTTTGACTTATGCCTGGTACGTGAAGCGTGATGTTGGTATTCAGGTTGTTTTCGAGTTCTTTGGAGAACACTGAAGTCGCCTACATCGTGAAGTTCCTTCTATGCTTGAGCACCACTGACTTCACAATTTGTGATATTCCTTCGAAGTCGGAAGTGCTGTCAAGAGATTCAAGAGATCCAGCGCGCCTCAATGCTTTGGAAAAAGGTGAGTTCTGGAGAAACTGTTCTCAACTCGTTACAATCCTAACAACTTGCTCCTACATTTCTCAGGTCAGTACTCTTAGCGAGTAGAAAACCCAAACCACGGGTACTCCCACCTTTAGGAGACGATGTGATCGTTGCCAGTCAGACTGCTTGGGATCACTTGAAGTCAACTCCAAGTCGTAGCTGTATTAATAGGAACATATTTTACACACATTTCGCGATTTCAAGTCATTGGGTGGCTGGATTCAAGTCTGAGTAAGCTGGTGCTAACTGATTCACCTGTGAAGAAGAAAACAGATGAACCTGTCCAGGCTACCCCAGATGGGACCGGATGGTATTCAGCATTCGAGGAGAATGTGTTAAACAGAAATGCAAGTACGCCTTCCGAGAGAACAGCACACGAGTGTTGAAGTACAGTCCTAGAAGCAATCAAGGTGGATATTTCTGAATCATGGATGGGGCCAGATTTGAGAAAGTGCGCACAGGTGGACAAAGCGCGGCCAGATTCTAGTCACAAGGCTTCCAGCGTTCTAACAACCTACCTTCCAGCGATGAAGTTATATAGTGCACATGTGGGGCTGCAAACCTGCCCATCAGATAGTTAACAAAATCGCAATCAGTCGGGGCGATGTCAGGAGGGGCGAAATGAGCCTCCTGCTGCCATGCTCTTCCAATGGTGATCGGTTGGTTAGTGACCAATTTTGGGGAGAAAACAACCTGTGGCGTCATCGTTGGGCTCACTCTATCAGGCTGCGTTCATACTTTGAGGCAGCGTCCACTAGCGTTTATAGCGTCCGGCATCGTCAGCGACTGGGAAAGAATACATGTGATCTAGCGTCTGTTAGCAAATCCCAACGCTCGCCGGAGTCTGGCAGCGTCTCGCATAAATAGTAGAGCTGGTAGAGTATGGAGAGATAGGAGATTAGCACACTGCTGGTAATAGGATAAGAAGATACCAGCTGCCTGCTACCTTCATCGCGCCATGCGCTGGCGGACGCTCGGTGACGCTGCCGCAAAGTGTGAACGCAGTCTCGCCCTTGAAACAGCTCCGACTGATTACGGCGATATCAATTATATATGGAGAAGGCCTGCACCTGCAAGCTACCACGGCACGAACGCGACGTTTTCTCCAAGTAACCTGAGTATTACCCACAGTTACTTCAAAAGCGATGAACATTGTTTGCGGCTCAATCACAGAGCCAGACAGAGCACAAGGTAACAGTAGCTTCAGCCTACTCAGACCTAGGTCGAAGTTACATCGTGTGCAGCACGACTCAATGGCTCGAAGACGGTTTGGAGCGTCGCGGAAGGCAAATAACCCCCAAAGCCAGTTGTGGCCCTCATCACATAGGCCAAGATTCATTCTAATTTGTGATCACCCCTATTGTTCTTTCCACGAATCCTAAACTTGTTTCTGTACAATTTCAGGCATCCTGGAGGCTTTCGGCCTTCAAAACTGTAGCAGTGGTGGCTGTTATCTGCATGATGACCTCCGTTATTTCGCTTCTGATTGCTGCCTTCCTTGCCTCTGTGATTTACCTTCAGAACAGGAACTCTTGTGCTCATTCGAAACAAGGGTATGCTGGATAGAAATCACAAACCAGTTCATATCTTCTGCTGTTTGCTGCATGTTTGAACAGTATCATTCCGTCTGCCTGTACATCAGTTTATTTCCTTCAATACTTGTGCGACAATTTTGCTTGTCTTTGTCTGATCTTGTGTTTTTCAATCGATTCAATCGATAAATGGATCTCGGTGAAAAACTTGTTATGTTACCTAGTGTTATATTCGATGGAGTTCATGGATTGAACTGTCATACTGACGCTTTCCGAAGTCAAGAGACAGAGCAAAATGAATGCATAATGAAAGGCTCTTCATGCAGATGATACCGCCGCAATCAGTCGGGGCGGTTTCAGGATGGATAGAGTGAGCTCACCCGCGGGGTTCTTACCACTGTTTATTTCCTTCCTAAATCGATCATTAACTGATCACTACTGGTAGGTAAGTGTAAAGGCTTACTTCCACCCTTCTGACATTCTTCTCGACTGATTGCGACGACATTCACTATAGTTATAGCCAAGTGTGAATCGAACCAGAACCAGCCAAGAAACGTTAGGCCTCGTTGATTTTGTGCCTTGGGCGAGCATGCGGTGATCAGATAAGCTTAGCGGGCGGGCGTGACGCAGGCGATGGAGCAATAAAAGCGAACACCTAAATAATGGGTGGAGTCAAGCTGAAGAATACGAGATCAAATTCAAGTCACAAGAATCTGGCGTTGCTACTACTCTCTGCCGAGTGCTAACGCCTGCTACAACTGTGGCCTGCATGGAACCAAGAATCGTATGCTGAGAGAGAGTTTTTGCCGAAAGCGCAAACGTAGGTGGATCGTGATACCTGTCGTGTGCCCGAGTGACATGCCGCCCAGTTGCAGCAGTGTGCCACTTTTCTGATTAGAAGTATTACAGAACGGGGCTGCCAGAGCAGTGGTCCGTGCACAAATTTATTGGCACGTCCAACGCGCTGACGTGACGCCCCGCCACACGCCCAGGGCACAGCATTCGATGGGGATTTTGGTCGAGCTCGTACGACCCCCCCCCTTTTTGGGGGGTTCGGTACGACCCCCCCCTTTTTTTTGGTTTTGGTTTTTTTCACACAAAAAACACAAGCTTCAGACTTCAGCTTCATTGTAAAACAAAAACAACTATATACATGGGAAAAAAAAACTAAAAACCACTATACAAAACCACTATATACAAAAACTACTAAATCAAAAAACAACTTCAGTGAATAGGACATAACGAAAAATAAACAAGAGGATCCCACCCTCCCTACCCGTTCCGCCACCGCCAACGAAGCCCTCCCTCCCGCCCGCAACGAAGCCCACCCTCCCGCCCGCCTTCCCGGTCAACAACTATAGGCACACAACAAAAATTAAGAAAGAATAATGAGCAAGCATTGATTTCCGACCAACGCAACGCCACAAGATTACCATCAAAGGAGGGATGGGACCCAAAGCGACAAGGACGCTACTACATAATAGGATTTCGGAAAACTAGAGGAAGATTCCAATTTTGGACAAACGCCATACAGCTGGGGTTACACCCTGTCCGAACAGGACGAGTAAAATAAATTTAAACATAAATCATCAAAATAAAAACAATAAATAAATTATGCGTGTGTGACACGCCTAACCACAGCCAGACGCGTACTTGTCTGCGCCCCCTCCGTTTCTGGTTGTCTTTGCAACTGAGTGCGTGTTTCACCGTGGAATTCTGATATCGACGCTAGTGCAGCACTCTGAGGATAGCACGGGCGAAATATGGGATATCACCGGCTGTCAGCACCCTCCTGCTCCGTTTCGTTCACTTTGAGCGGGGGTGCTGCACACTACTGCAACGTCGCCTCGCACATGACAAGGAAGTCTTTGGAGGTGCGTTTACAGGTGTTAATCGGTCTATGAGAAATAATCTCAAATGCGTTCAGGACTTACCTTGGACTTTCGCGCTAGGAATTTCATATCTCGCGAGCAGGGATATGTTAATCCGTGTTCTTCTAAAAGCATGGCAGTAACATTACCGTAGCTTTTGCAAGGTCAACTGTTGTTTTTTCTACTTACTATTGGGAGGTATCCACATATACCCCTTCATCCCTGAGACGGGGTAGGCGTGGCATTCGAACATGGCACAGAACTGGTTACTCGTGGGATATTTCAATTTGAGACAACCGCCATCTTGTTCTTTGTTGGACAGAGACGTGACCACATTTGGGTCAAAATGAAAATATCTCTCCAAAAGCATAGCCACCACGACGTTTAGTTGAAGTACGCAGCCACGCCTACCTCATTTCAGGGATCCCAAGTGTAATGAATGCATCGTAATTGATCCGCAGGGGTGGCTACGCTACTGTAGCTTAGCACGTGCGAAGAATGCGTATCTTACACAGGAAAAGGATCTGTAGGAAAGGAAGGTGGTCGTTGAGAGAATGAAGCTGGTGGTGGGCATGTCATAGGAACTCAAGTAACACAGCGAGCCGAATTATAGTTGCGATTTGGAATTGGAGGTTGAGCATTTGCAATGAGCGCCCTTGCGATAACGCTAAGGTTAGCCGCACTGTAACAATTGACACTGTTTACCTTTTACTGTCCCAATTATCCGAAATCTGACCAGTTTCTGACCGACTTATTTCTCCAGGTCGAAACTGGCTAAAACTTTGTCCCCTGGGTAGTGCGCCGGCGCCAGCGCCAAAATACCCTAAATCACCAGTTCCCCCAAAAACTTGTTCCCATGAGTACTAGTGTGAACTCCGGACACAAATATCACATCCGCTCAGCCGGAAACTTTCTGGCGTCCGCGCAACAGACCCGGCGCCAAAATATCCCAAATCACCGGCGCCTGTGGCGCGGGCGCCAGGAGGTTTCGGGCAAAGCGAATGTGATATTCGTATTCAGGAGGTCAAACTACCCCAGGAGACAACATTTGAGCCAAATCTGTCCACGGAGAAAAAAGTCGGTCAAAAACTGGCTTGATTCCGGATTATCGGAGCAGCAGTGTAAATAGTGCCTAACAATCTTCTGCCTCTTCAGGGATGCGGCGCACACCCCTTCAAAACCGTAGCTGAAACTGTTTGGCCTATACCTGCGGAAGGCAACCGTTACACAAGCTGCTGTTTTTATCAATTCCAATGAATCTGGTACCAGTCCAGTTCACCGTCCCTGGAGGACAAAAGGCTAGGCTGATTCGGGCGGAAGCTGATGTGGGGTTTCACCCCAGACTACTGCATGGTGAGCCGGTCTTTTGCCACTAACTACACCACACGTGCTTCAAAGCCTATATTTTATTAAATAACTTAAGGAATAGAGGGGAAAAACTCAATACAAGCAGTAACACTCTCATAACAACCAAGGATCGCAAATGATCGCACATCCACACATTTCACTTTAGAAGTCGTCGCCGCTGCTGAGATCGAGCTTTTCATGATAGTCATCATGAGGCTGGAACATTAGACATGAAGCGATTGCTAGGTGGCAAATACCTACGAGGTTACCAGATTGTCACGTACCGAATTGTGCTGTTCTTCCTCGCTATCAGTCTGCATTGCAGCCAGCATCAACTTCTTCGTTGTCATCGTCATCGTCCGACATTCCCGCTCCGGTCATGTTGCCATATACTTTTCTTTCT